CGCGCCGGCTGCTCGCCAAGGCCCTAATGCACGTAACGTTTCAAATTCCCCATGTGTAAAATGGGCTCAGCTCTAACGGTCAGGTGAATACCAAAACCGTCTAAAAATAAACCCAAGTTTTGCTCCACAACACTGACTTTACTCATTCCATTTTTTGATGCAAGAAGTCAGAAGAAAAATCATTCAAAAAAACCAGCCCCTTCCCTTATAGCAAAGCACCATCTGGCACATGGCTCAGAGCATTTTGTCACACACCGATAAGGAATACCCAAACAATTTATAGCCGTAGTATAAAGGAGAAAATACAAAAGCTACCAAAAAAAAAAAAAAGAGAGAATGCTGCTTCTGCTAAACAATTAAAAAAAAGCCTGCATGAAAAAACCCTCAGCCCTGTACAGTACGTAAACACACAGAGCGAAGCATCGGCAGAAGGTTAACCGCTGTCTCGGAGCGTTGTGGGGCTGAATAAGCTCTAGGCTGACCCGAGGAACAGAGGCTGTCAAGGCCAGGGAGCCGGCTCTACCAGCTGTGTTTTGAACCATATGGCTAGCTGTGTTTTCACACAACACTTTCCTCTTCCCACTTCAGCCGTCTGCTCTATTTTGGCAAGAACTTCAGATGCCAAGGTTGTATAGTACCATCTATAGCTGCGAAGCACTACACAGACATCAGTTTAGGAAAAGAACAGAAAAAAGAAGAGTGAACGAGGAAAGGCCAAGTGATCAACACAAAGCCCCTCATTTGTTACGTCCTAGTTGCTTTTAACTAGAGTGGTTCTTTTTATTCTGAATAGTCCATCTACCTCCTTAAGTTTCTGTTTGTTTTACTTACAGGCTCCTAGTGCTGTCACACACCAAAACAGGCTGGCAGCAAGCCATAAGAAGTACCCATCAGCGATATAGCTACGGCTGAGATCTCTGCTCCCTTGCGGACGTAAACTTCTTCTGCCGTCTTAAAACAAGAGGAATCTTCAAATGCCCACAAATTAGTGCTCACTGTAGCACATCTCCACCATAAGCTGCATAGGAATTCTTATTGCAAAAGGTGGTAAGAGTTCAAGCATCAACAGCTTTTTCCTGTGCGTGCTCACCTAGAAGATTTTCTAAGCAGGATAATAAGGGCCAGCTCCAGCTACCCTTAAGGTCAAAAAGAAAATAACCAACAAATGTAAGTGGTTATACCTCCGGCATCATGTAACCTGTACTTCTCAAAATAATAAGCCATAAGATAGCAGACTATCAATTCATCAAAGGACTACAGGACATTTACTCAAGACATCTGTGATAGTGTATGACGATGAGAAGAGGATGTTCAGGAAATGTCAAACTGTAGTATTAAGCGTGAACTGAATTGTGAATCGAATATATGGTTTTGTGAGCAACTGGAACTTGCACACACAACTTCACCAATGGATAAAGCAATTAATGACTCAACTGTGAGCTGAATACATGGTTTTGTGAGCACGAGACAGACAAACAAGCTGGCGACAAATGGGACAATGATTTAAGACTTCAGTTTGGACTTCCAGTGCCAACCTGGGTCTCCTCCACAAGCCACTATTAAAAAGCCTTACGGTTGCCACCCTCTGCACTACCTCAACAAAACAAAACTGCATAGGAAATCCTTTGCTGGATGAAGCTGTACAACTGAGGAAGCCTGAGAGACTCTCATACATGAGAGAGACAGACTCAGACAGGCACCGTGGGAACTGGTGGTGGGATTTGTCCACTGGAGCGCCTGCAGCCTTCGGAGTGCTGACGGCAGCCAAGGCAAGAGGCCAGGCAGATTGGCTGATACTTCCGCGTCATTAAGGCCACAAGGTTTTCCACTAAAATTAAATACACATTAGGGGTGGGAAGAGAGAAGCCAGAGGTCATGAAAAAGGCTGATTCTGAGCACTGCTGTACCGCTGCCCCTCCTAACGCAGCATGAACCCACCTTTGACTAATGACAGGTACCTGGCCGTACCTCTCTAAGAAGATAAGCAGCATTTCTTTCGCATGATGCAGTAACGTGTAAACGCTTCTTACCCACAGCGCTGAGAGCATGCTTGAGCTCCAGAGTAAAAGCTGTAAGTGGCACCTCTTCAGACACCGGCATAATTGCTACTGTGGAGAGATTGCTGGCAGGATTTCCAGCATCCCACTTGCTACTCGAGCTGTGTAAACCAAGAGGATGACCTGTTTGAAAAGAAAAAATTTGCCATCAGCCAACCCAGCAAGCTAGATGTTATTTCATTGTTTTCAACTGTCAGGCAGCGAGGAAAGTGTCACTGAATTGCTTAACCTAAGATAAATGTAACATCTTCCACATCACATAAAAGGAAAGAGTTCCCACATATTTCATCCATAAGAGGATGAAGATCAATTTCCATTATTTTTGGCTGCTGACATAGCATGCGTGGGTAAAAAAGTCAGGCAATGTTAAAAATATCTGGATGTCAGGAACAGCTTAAACACAATGTGCATTTACCCGACCTGTTAAGAAAAAGATAAAAAGGCACTCTGAATCACTTTGAATGGACACGACTTTGGGACAGGCATTGATTCAGCCCAGAAGAGGAACTAGCTTAAATAACAAAACCCCAAAACCTGCTGTCAGTATCAAAATATTCCAAAAACTAACATTCCCTTTTTATGGTATTCCTGATCAAGGAAATAAATACCTGTTTTCAACAAAAGTTCCCATAGGGAATGTGTATCTCCACCTATTTTCACTTCTCTCCAAGAGGGGAAAATGAGGAGCTTTACAGATACGTGCTTAGGATTACTGAAATAAAATACGGCATCTCTGAAGTAGCTGCAAAGTAACTGTGGAAACATCTCCAATATAATATGGCAAGCTGAGTAAGGATAAAGTGTTAGGGCAGAGGAGAGCATTTTTTGACGGAAGCATGTGATGCGTGTCACACGGATCTCCCTAGAACAGGAACAGATCAATGATAGGGGTGTTCTTTTTATTTTGGTACTATTTCTTTCCTCTTTAAATAAGCCTTCTCAGACAACCTGACATTGCTGCTGATGCCTATCAACTCAGCTCTAAGTACAGAATAAACTTAGTGTCATCTACGCTAGGATTTAGGTCCTGCTTATCGCGTTTCACCCAGCAAAGGCCTAAGATGCACCATGAAGATGAATTATTGAGATGGACATATGGAAGTACTTAATATGCCATATGAAAACTCATTCAAAGCCTACATGCAGGATTGACAGTACACTGCAGGACACAAAGAAATAGCAGATAAACCTTTTTCAAATATATTCAGCAATTGACTTATTCATTTCAAGTCTTCTAAAATAACTCTGCACAGAAGATTAAATAGTTTTTCCACTCTTTTTGGCAATCTTCAAGAAGATATTTGTAAGTTCAAACAAGCTGCACATCACTGCTCAGCTCCTTCATCCCCACCAGTCCTTTCCTCTCAGAACTTCGGTGGCGATTCGTTGATTGAACTCCTATTACTGTCACTAATTTTCCTCCCATTTTCTCCAGACTGCGTATTGCCCTATTTCCCAAGGGGTGTGGACTCTGCCTGAAGCCACAAAGGCATTGCAGCACACGCAAAAGTTTAAACACAATTTAATTTAATAATAAATAATTTAATAATCAAATAATTTAAGTACAATCACTAGAGATTCATACACAACTGACTGCGTACAGAAAGCTGAGCATGTAAAGAAAGAGCGAACTTTGAGATTCTCTTCCCAAAACTGCTCCAAAACATGAGAGTTGGCTACCTCATTTTCAGCCTCCTTGGAAAATTGCTAAAACAGCAATAAAAGCAATGCCATAGAACGCCTACATTAAAAAAAAAAAAACACCCACAAACCAACAAACCACAAACAGCAAAGAACCTCACAACACCCAGCAGTTAACGTGCATCTGTTTTCTTTTAAAAGCTGCCCAAGAAAACAAACTATATGGAAAATTTCCTCCTACTCACTTCAGTTTAGTCAGTAAATATACTTTGTTTTACCTCTGCCACATACAGAAAGCTGAAGAACCAATCCATAGCAGACCATTTCCTCTCAGACAATTCATTAAGAGAATGTAAATACAGACATTAAGTGAGTATACATGCAGATGCCGCTCAGCACGACTCTCTGATTCAAGTCCACTATAGCTACTAATTCCAGTGCTCCCTTTGAGCTCTTCTCTCGCGAGAAATTTCAAGGAACTTCCCCTGCACGGACGCAGCGGTACTACTCTTCTATCTCAATTGCAAATCATTCCATTCCCACACTTAATTAGCCATGCTTCACCAAGAAAAAAAAATTAAAAATCTACACATATATAATAAAATCATCATCCACTTGTGACAACAGCTGAAATCTTTAGAGAGGGATTGTCTTTTCAAGTACGCACTTTCTGCTTCCCGATTTCACAATGTAAATCTAGCTGCAAGGAAGCACCAGCATCAATGGGAGTAGTCCAGGAATGAGTCTTACCTCCCTGCTGAAGACTGCCAAGAATCTTCTCGCCCAGCAAGTGAATAAGTCTAGTCACAACCTAGCCATGGGAGGGAAAGAAAAAGAAAAGAAACAAACACTCAGGCAGAATGTACTAAAATAGTGCATCTAAATGGATGCTTTCAAACGTTTGTAAGGCATTATCTCAAGTTGAACCGTACAGAGATAAGGTTTTATAATCGTAACTTTGTTCTGGCTGTAACGTACGGTGACTGATCATTTGTCTTGGATTTCTTTTACCTTATTTTACTCTAATCTGGAATAACAAGAAAACAAAACCAAAAAAAGCCAAAACCAGGCAGTATTTAACTTGCTTTGGGAACAACAACAAAAAAATCCAATTATTTTGGGAAACGTGTCTAATCGTATCTTCAGTTCTCCTCTTTTCCTCTGCAGCGTGCTTGCACCTCTCGGTCACTCTCCCTGTTCGGAGGCTGTGGCACACCTCCACCTTCTGCAGGTACGGAAGGCTCCGGTCTGCACTCAAACAGATCTTGCTTCCGCCTGAGCCCCCGTGAATCAGTCAATGTTTACAGTAACCATCTTGAATAAAAGGGTAACTTGTATTATATAATAGTTATATAATTATACTATACATATTTATTATATAGAATATGCATTACATATTTTATATGTATATAATTTCTATATTATATAAATAAAAGGCTACTCTAAACACCTGTAGAATCAGCACAAACTATCTAAGAAATTGCTTGCCCCCTCAAATCACGTTTGCATGGTTTTGAAAGGACAGATTTTTTTCCCAGCTTTTTCCCCCCAATGGGACTTTCATCAATATAAACCAATACTCAAATAGCCAGGCATATCTGAAAACTGACAATCTTATCTCCAACATTAACAATCCAGAATTCCCAGCAAGTGCTGTAGCAGAAGACTAGTAATTGCAACACCAAGGAGTGGTAGTCTTGGAAAATGCACCATTTATTCTGAAAAGCTAGGCACAAATGTTTTACCAAATAAGGAAAGAGAGATTTAAATGCATTAAGAATTAATAAAGCAATCATTAGATACGGTCCCCCAGACAAATACCTCTAATCTTCAGGAGGACATAAAAAAAAAAATAAACCAAAACCCACAACAACAAGAGCTCTCCAAACTCTTAACAAGCTAAACAAGCAGCAGCTTGGGTTTGGAGAAGAGAGAGATGCTGCTGCCCTAAGAACAAGCGCTTCAGGATGCATCTTTCAAATAAAAGACCACGTAAGCATCAAGACAGGTCAGCATGCCCATCAGAATCATTTATATATAGTGCTTAAAAAAAAAAACCCCAAATGATAAATTCTCCCAGACAATGAAACTTCATAGCTTTAATAAGCACCAATATTTTTTAAGCATCTGTAGGAGGAAGGGAGAAGAGCAAACAGGGAGCTTCCAACACAGTGCGACTTAGAGCAGAGCAGGGAGCTAAACAAAGTTATTTGAGCAATTTCTGTCCCACAGCCGTAACTGCAAGTTCCTGAAGATGCCACATCACCCATCTGCTCATCCAAGATCACCTCCTTCAAAGTTTCTCTGATTTGCACCAGTAGCAGACACGATCGTCCATACCCGCTTTGCCGAGACACCGATGCAGCGCAACCGCTGCCACCAACAAGCGATGGCGGAACGACGGCAGCTCCCAACGGCAGGCGAGCTCTCAGCCTCCTTCCCCGTCCTGGAAGCTCAGACAGGATCTAAAGTGCTTCCGTTTGTCCAAAATATAGCAAGAGCTGACGAGCACCCAGCGGGCTCGTTACCACTTCAACAATGCCAAGATCTGCGGTTCTGGGATTCAATAAAAGGCGCTGGGTGTAGCTACAGAAAACTGCCCCAACTACAGGGAGCAGGGAGGGAAAGAGG